CCCCCCCCCCCCCCCCCCCCGCCCCCTCTACCCGTGTCTCCAAACCCGAGTTTTCCTTACCCCCATTGTTGACCACCGCAATACTGTACCCATAAACCCACTAAATTCCCGCCAGGTTCTGCGCGAGGCATCGCCTGGAGCACATGGTGGACGTGCTCGACCGTCACTGTGCCCAGCACGGGTGCGATCGCCAGCCCATCTACGGCCAGGCCGGGGAGAAGGAGGGCCGCCCGATGTGGTGCCCCGACCACCGCCCGCCGGGGAGCTTCGACGTCAAGACCTCCCGCTGCCAGGAGCCCTCCTGCCTCAAGCACCCCAGGCACGACACTCGCTCGACAAAAGCACATCGGCAGATAGTTTCGGCGAGAGTGCAATGGTTGCGAGAACTTGGTTAAGTTGTTTGCTACGAGGGCAACAGCTGTTAGCATCTCAACGTAGCAATAGGTATTCTTATGTCAACCAGTAACCCCCCCCCCGCCTGCCTCGGGAAAACGCCTTGTACAGCTACGGTTACGACAGGGACCGCATCCGCAGGCGTTGCCGGCTCCACAAGCTCGACGACATGGTGGACGTCAAAAGCCCTCGCTGCGAGATGGCCGGCTGCCGGAAGCAACCCTGCTGCGGCTTCCCGGGACTTAAGCCGCGCTTCTGCTCGGAGCATAAGCAAGACGGCATGCTCAACCTCAAGGTACCGTACAGACGTTGCTTAAATACCACCACCCCGCCCTCCCCGGTGTTTGCCATCGGGGTTGGATTTTCGTCGCTCGCTTGGCAACGACGGTGTAAAACAAGCCCCCCCCTCGGTGTTTGCCATCGGGGGATTGGGTTTTCGTCGCCTGCCAACGACGTTGTAAAACAAGCCAATTCACTTCGTGAACTCGGCAATCAGGTTACCGTTTTTTTTTTTACCTCTGTTTTTTTTTTGGGCGGTAACCATGATGGTGGTCGAGTAGATCATGTTGTGCGGGGTGGAGAACCCTCACTCCGCCCAACGGGGATGATCGCACCATGTTGTGNCTGAGCACACACACCCCCACCCCCCCCAACGCGCGCATGCCCTACCGCCCTCCGCTCCGCGTGGAAAACTCCATAACACCAGACTCGCGCCTTTAGGTGCAAGTACAGGGGAGTCGCGGGACTCGGCATTGCGGACGACCCGATGATGCCTCTTCCCGCGGGCAAGACCCAGCCGTGCAACCGGGCGTGCCGTTACGCCTACCCTGGGGAGGAGGCGGTGTACTGCCAGAAGCACAAGCTTAACGGGATGGTGGACGTCATCAACCCCTCCTGCAAGGTGTGTGCGTGTGTGTCACAGGCTGCTGTCCTCTCTCTTTCTGCTGCTGCCTTGGTTGTGTTTGTCGCGTGGGGGGGGTCGCCACTGGGGTTTGCTAACCTCGCGTTGGTGCCAGTTAGGGCGTTAGTGCTGCTAAAAATGTGTGAGCCCTTTTCTTTCATCCCTTCCCTTTCCTCCCTCTCTCTCACACTATCTGTCTCTCATTCTCTGTCTCCCTCTCTCTGTTCCTCCCACCCTCTCTCTCTATCGTCCCTCTTTCTCTCTATCTTCCCTTTCTCTCTCTGTCTTCTCTCTCTAAGATGCAAGAATGTCCGGAAGTGCCTACCCACGGCTACGACGGCGAAGCCGCGACGTTCTGCCAGGCGCACATGGCTGTGGGGATGAAGGTGAGCTTGCTTCAAACCTCATGGCTCTCGGACTCAACACGTTCTTTCATGAACATGCGTTCTCAGGTAAACTCCACCCGCTTGTCTCCTGAGCATCCCAGCGATCATCAACGCGCGCTCGTCTCCTGATACATTACCTGCAGTGTTGCTCCGTCAGTATCTAGTGTCGTTGTGTGCTCGCCCAAAATTCCGGCTCTATACCGGGTGAGTGGCACTAATAACAGCTGGTTCGGTGATTTCGTCTGTACCCGCCGAAAACACTGGCATTACAGTACCGGGTACTGGCACTATAAGGGACTACTGTACAACGATTGTTTATGTACTACGTCAAGATGCCGCCGCTGCTGCTGCTGCTGCTGCTGCTGCCGTTCTGTGTGTGTAGAGGAAGATGCAGCAGACGTCTTTGTCAATCGTGTTTGAATGAACTCTCAGCGCCCCCCCCCCCCCCCCCCCCCCCCCCCCCCCCCCCCCCCCCCCC